GTCTGGAACCAGCTTCCAAGTGAGGTGGTGCAGGCTCCCACCCTGGGGGTTTTTAAGAGGAGGTTGGATGACCACCTTACTGGGGTCGTTTGACCCCAGTACTCTTTCCTGCCATGGCAGGGGGTCGGACTAGATGATCTGCTCAGGTCCCTTCCGACCCTAGAAACTATGAAACTATGAAACCCTTGGGACGGACCGAGCCTCTCTGCCGGGAGGGAGCTGCTCACAAGCTGAACTGTCAGCAGCATTTTGGGGCTCAGAAGCTGGTTCTTGGAGTTCATTCCCAAGCAGCTATATGACTGCTGTTTGTACAGGGCCATGCCTGTGCCTCATGAATATTTATGAGGGAAAAGCGATATGCTGGTGATATTAAAACATGCACAGACGAAGCAGGCAGGGTGGGAGGCAGAGCCTTCGTTAGCTGGCATTCAGCTGTGGCAGGTACGCTCTGTACACAGGCCCCAGCTGCTTGCAGTGGAGGGAATGGGTTTTCCCCTCCCTGCCTCTTCCTGTAGGTCTCACAGCTGAGCACTAACCATAACAGGGCACAGAGCAAGCCCTACACCCTCCCCCTGGACCTGGCTCCTGGGCTAGGCCCGTTCTTGCATGCAGGGCGCAGGGTATGGCTGCAGGCTTTCCAAGGGGAGACACCAGCCGGAGGTCTGAACACACACAGCCTGCTCCAAACCCCAGGGAATCGCTGCAGGTATCCATTGGCTTCTGGGGTCACCCCTTCACTGGCAAAGCTACTGCATCACCTGCCCAAACGCACCTGCCAGAGCACTGTCCGCACTCCAGCCTCCCGCGGACACCAGCACGACGCAGTCAGACGGGATGCTGCAGACGAGCTAATCAAGCAGTGTATTCAGAACAGGCCAAGCAGACATGGAGACAGAAAAACCAACCTGCTGGGTGCCATGAGAAAAGTTGTCCCCAGGGAGCAAGATCCTTGAACGCCCCGATGCCCACCCTCCTGCGTCAGTGCTGGAGAGCTCTCTGCAACAGCAGGGTGGCAGGATCTGTGCTCCCAGAGTCCTCTTTGTCACCAAGATGTTAGCTGTGAGCCAAAATGCATTTAACTTGGGGGGAAGGGGCGCGGAAATGGCGGGGCTGGAGAGAGCATGGGAGAACAGCAATGCTCAGCTCCTGCCGCACGTGCTGTGCAGGCGACCAGGGGCAAAGGGTTTGTTATTCACGGTAAGGAAGGTTTCACTGACACCAGGGCAAGCAACGCAGCTAGGGGTGGGCTCAGGCTTGCTCTACATGTCAGAAGGGCAGTTCATCTGATCCGTGGGAAGCATCATCCCTGTTTGGATCCGGTAGGAACGGAGAACACTCTTCAGGTGCTCCACAGTTTCCGGGTGCAGCTGGGGAGTTCTGGACCTGATCCAGGCATAATCGACGTGGAAGAGCCAGAAGAACGAGGTGCAGGAGTACACCAGCGCGTAGTTCTCGTAGTCGGTGGCAACTACCCAGTAGGGGCTAGCTGGCATGACTAGGGAGGAGACAAGAAGGGCATCATTTGGTGCTGCAGGCAGGTGAGGTGCTGGGCACTGCGACTAGCCTGCATGCGACTGTTGGAGGTGCAGGCCAAGATGCTCCAGCAGGGACTGGGGGTTGGATCACCCCTGAGCTGCTACCGACTTGCCAGGGGGCCTGTGCAAGGCAGGACATTGTTATTAAGCAAATTCCTTTCCCACCCAGAGAGGCTTAGGAAAGCCAGGGACATCTGTGGCCTGGACACCGAGGTCAGTGGCCCAGACTCTCCTGTCACCTATGCTACTTGCACACCTATGTGACTTGCCACCCATCACTTCACACCGGCACCAGCTCCCAAAGCCATACTCCGTCCACACTGCCATCAGAGTCGACAGCAAGACGGCACATGGGGCGGCATTCAGCTGAGGGAGGCAGGGGCTCTGCACACTTACACCAACTGTAGCTGACGCTCAGCTTGGCCGGCTCATCTTTGTTGACAGGGACAGCCTCTGCCTCCATGTGTTTGATCGTGCCGTCGGATCTAGGGGAGAAGAGCAGGTGTGGGTGTCAGCTGCATGGGTGTGCAGCCCCACTCGCATGGATGCGCTGATCAAGTCTCTGTGGCCACCTCCTTGGAGATGGCTAGGGCCCATAGTAGTGCCTGTGCCACGTGCTCCCCCTGCTAGCAGCCTCCCAACACCCTCTGGTCGAACTGGGGGGGAACATGGGCACAGGGGACTGGAGAGCACAGCACAACCAGCTGCTGCCCGGTGCCTTCCCAAACAGAGCCAGCCTGCGCAGGCTTGGAGGAGCGTTTTGCAGAGGCCAGCACACGGCACAGCATAGGCACAGAAGAAAGTAAGCACAGAGGCAGAAATCCTCCGGGGCACGGCTGGGACGTGCACTTAGCTGCTGATGAGAGCAGCACCAGATCTGGTCATGCCTCAGGAGCGTTTTGAATGGGTGGTGGCTACCAGCCCCAGGCCTGGCCCTGCTCTCGGTCCCCTGGGTGTGAGCCGGGAGGAACACACCGACCCAGGCTCAGGCTGCGCACAGGAGGCCAGCGCTCTCCCCTGCTGCATCCCAGACTGGAGAAACCGTGCCCCACACACCGGCTTCTGCCTTCCCCAAGTCCCAGCACCAACCCAATGGGCTGCCAGCCTTTTGTCAGGCCATCCCAGCCAGCGGCCACGGGGACCGTGCTGCGCTGGTTTAGGGCAGCAGGCGCACGGCTCCTCCACCAGGCACAAAGGACATGCGCAAAGCTGCCATTGTGCAGCAGAACAAAGTGGCCATGTCAGGCTGGGGAGCCAAGAACAGCACTTCCTTCATTCACTCCGTCAACAAGGTCCTGCAGGAGCGGAGGCCACAGGCGCCGCCCCGTCCCTGCCAGCATGCGGGGGGCTCTGGGGTTGCGCACCACCAGGATGCTGCAGCCAGCCAGCCAGCCATCAGTCACTGTGTTTACCCAGCTGGGTGGTTCACACGGGCAGAGACCTCTGACCCCGCGACAGCCACAGAGGAAGGGCTGGGTTACACATTACACAGTGAGCCGCGCACACATGGACCGGCTTAGTGCTGCCTGGCAGTCACGCCTTCAACTGGGGCTGCACGTCTGTGGGGAGAGGTCGCACCTGAACGGAGCAGGAGCCAGGCTGTGCGGGTCGGAGACCGCCCGGCCCTGGAGTGGCCTTGCTGTGAGCCACCTACTGAGCCACTTGAAGGTGTGAACATGGGGACATCCAGGTGGTCAGAGCTCCAGATTAAGGTGTAGCAAGGCTCTAAGAGACTCGCAAATATTCGCTCCACCAGTAATGGCCAAAGGACTTGGCGCAGGCAGCCCCTGCTGACCGCTGTGGTGATGCCCGCCCCTATGCCAGTGGCCAGCCCAGGCCCAGGCACCTCCGGGCACCAGGTGGTACCAGGGCTTTTTGTGCTGCTGTGTGGGTGACCCAGCTCTGCATCGCAGCGCCGCAGGCCAGGCCAGCACAGGTCTGCTTCTTCAACCCCATCTGGTCACATCAGGCTTAGACGGCAGCTGACTGGAAGCAGCCTCCAGCCGGGTGCACATGGCCTGTCTAACCAGCACCGCGGCAAGGTGTGTAGGGCTCCTCAAAACCAGCGCCAGGCTGTGGCACAAAGGGAGGAAGAAAGCTGCCGGGCACTGGATACGCCGTGGCGAGCAGTCTCTGAGCGTTACCAAAGCCATGGTGCGAGTCCGCTGGCAGCAGATGGGGAGAAAGGGGGTATTGGCCCAGCTGGGCCTGCACTGTTTTCTCCACCAGCTCCACAACCCCCTGGGGCCCTGCCCCAGCCCTGAGACCTGCCCCAAGCCCGGCGCCGACACTCACTGCACCATTTTGGTCAGCACTTTGATCTTCCCGTTGTCCTTCAGGGAGTAATTCGCCTGGACGCACCGCTCCTGCTCGAAGCCGGAGGGCAGCTTCTCGATCTCGTACCATTTCCCGAGATACTGAGGGAAGAGAAGGTAGAACGCGTCGCGTGAGCCAGGCCGACCACAGGGCTGCAGCCCCACGACAGCCTCGCTCCTTCGTCTGCGCCGGGCACAGACCGTGTCTGGGATCAGGGACCCCGCGCGGAGCCAGTGCTAGGGGAGTCTGGCTGGCAGGGGCTCAGGAGGTCATGTCTAATCCAACCCTGCTCCAGGCGGGACCAGCCCTGTCTGAACCCTCCCAGCCCAGGGTCCGTCCAGCCTGCTCTTCGAGATCCCAGCCTCTTCCAGGGCCCAGCCACCCTCCTGCCTAGAGACAACTGCTCCTGATCCCACAGTGTGAGCTTGCAGGCCGGGCTCCAGCCGCGCCAGGCTCACCTCCGCCGCGCAAGGGCAGATCCTGGGATGCAGAGCAGGCACCGAGCATGCACTGACATCTGCACAGGCCCTTGGGATCTCCCTGTCCCCGACCGGCTGTCTCCCGCAAGCTGTCTCTGCCTGGCCGGCTACGAGACCGCAGGACTGGGCAAGCTGCCCCGCACCTTGATCGGGTCGAAGTCCTCCTGGACCGGCGGGTTGGGGCACTGCCCCATGTGAAACGTCTGCCCCTCCGCGAGGCCGAGGAGCCCGAGCAGGGCCGCGACTAGCACCAGCATGACCTGCATGGCAGTGCGAGCGGGTCAGAGCCCAACCTGGACGAGAGCACTGAACACCCGGGGTGCTGCAGGGAAGCTGCACACAAGGGCAGGGGGCCAGAAACGGAGATCTTCACCCTGACAGCGAGACGTGCAAACACAACATGGAGATGAGGAAAGGAAGGGCTGAGGCCTGGGCTCTGCCTAGTGTCTGTTGGGAGCAATTCCCCATCCCCCTGCTTCTAACAGCTGGCCCCGAGCATCCCTGGAGCTGAGTCGCGGTGCAGAGCAGGGGCGCTGGGGCGTTCTGCGCAGCGCAGGGTTTGGCTGTCCCCGCTGCAGCCTCTGCCAGATGGCACTAGCCGCACAGACACTGAGGGCCACGTCCTATCCTGCCCATGGGGCTGGGAGGGGAGTGAGGCCCCAGCATGGGCCTGTTCCACCCGCTGGAGCCCCTGCAAAGCAGCTAAGGCAAAGCACGAGCGGGCATGCGGGCCCTTCTCCTCCTCGTCCTCCGCCTCGCTCCAGCTCTCAGCATCCGAACGCCGGTTCCCAGCTCGGTGACTCAGCCGGTGCCTCCGGGCAGGCAGCTGCAGGAGCCCAGCCGCATGTTCGTATCAGGCAGCGCCCTGCACCGCACAGAGCAGGGAGCCCTCCGCCTACCCAGACCCCTTCAGAAAGCCCCTTGAGGGCGGCAGCTCCCTGCAGTCTGGGCCGACACACAGAGCAAGACCCTGCAGGATCCCCGACTCCCCCAGCCAGGGGCTCCTAGAGCAGGACAAGCATCTCCCCACATCTGTCAGACAAACTGGGTCCCTCCCCAGCACCGAGGGGCCGGAGACCCACCAGGACCAACGGCAGATCCCGGCTTCTCGCCTGTGCCCAGAGGTCAGTGAGAACGTACCTGAGCGGTGCTCTCCGGGCTGGGGGAGAAGCAGCTGCACAGCCCGCAGCCTGCTCTGCTTTATAGGGCACGCGGGGCAGCATCACGCAGTGCCCACACACGCTGCGCCCTCCTCCCCGCCACGCCCCTGCTCTTCCCAGGGGGGCGACTGGCCCTGGGCCTGGCCCGCCTCTGGGGCATGGCGCGGACCGGCTCCTGGGCAGACAATGGGGCGTGTGTGCAGCAGGGCATGGCACGGCACAGCAGAGGCGCGTGGCTGCCCAGCAGCGATGCCGCGCTGCCAGGGCTTCCTGCGCCGTCGGCAGAATTGCTGCCCAGGCGTGGGGGCTTGCGACCGGGGCCCACCAGAGTACCCACCCGGGCACTGAGAAGCCGGCAGCGCTGATGTCAGTTTAGGCTGGGGTAGCCAAGAGGCAAGCACAAAGTCCCCTTGGGCAGAGAGGGGGGAAAGGAGGGAGCAAGCCAGGGCTGCGCTGCCTCCTGCGCTGCAGGGACAGGGCCACGGGGATGGAGCGCCGAGCGTGGCTTGTGTGTCCGCTCCCTGCCCCACGCCTGCCCAGGAGGCCCCAGCAGGCTGCTCTCCCATCACTGCCTCCTCCCCATGGGGCCCAGGGCCTGCTCCTCAGCCCAGCCCTGCTCCCCGCCAGCTGGCTTAGTCGTAGACCCTCAGCAACGGGGCTGGAGGTGACCTGCGGAGGCCACGTCTAGTCCAGCCCCGAGGCAGGGTCAGCCCTGTGCAAACCAGCCCAGACAAATCCACCATCTAAACCGTCTGCACGAGACGACCGTCAGCCTTGACACCGCACAGACCTAGCACCCGAGCCTGCCACAGGTACAGAAGGAAACCAGGCAGCCAGCGCCCTGCTCGCACCAGGCCTCTCTGCAGCACCTAGAGCAGGGGCCGTGGCTGGGACCCACACGCGTGACAGCAGCCCCGCAGCCCGGAACAGGTCCTGCCGTGGGGGGGCTGCAGCAGCCCACCAGCGTGTGACGCCGAGAGCCCTGAGATGACTCTGGAGGGAGGCGGGAGGAGGAGGGGGTGACGCCAGGAGCCAGGGCATGCTGCACTCGGGTGCTTCCCCGCTGTCCACATGGCCGTCAGGGTCATTGCTCACCCGCCTGGGTGGGGGTGCCAGCACCCGCAGCCCTGAGGCCAAGGGCCAGGGGGTGCCGCTCAGCCGGACCATGGCAGGTCCCGGGCCGCAGTAAGATGCAGAGCCAGCAGAGAGACGGAGAGGGGGACACGGGGAGCCCTTCCCTTGGGCAGGGCAGGAGGGGCTCGTTCTCCACCACATTTTGTCACCAGCGCTGCCTGCGTGCGGAGAGCTGCAGGGCAGACAGGCAGAGAATCACAGAATCACTGAGTCGGGAGGGACCTGGACAGATCATCGAGTCTGACCCCCCGCCATGGGCAGGAAGGAGCACTGGGGGTGGCAGGCGTCATAAGACCCCAGCCAGGTGCCTGTCCAGTCTCCTCTTGAAGATGTCCAGGGAAGGTGGGAACAGCACCTCTCACAGAAGCCTATTCCAGGCTCTGGCCACCCTTACAGTGAAGTAGTTCTTCCTAATATCTAACCTAAACCTGTCCTCCCGCAGCTTGTGGCCATTGCTCCTGGTGACCCCAAGGGCGGCCCTGGTGAACAGACTTCCCCAAGTCCCTGCTGCTGGCCCCTGATAAGGTTGTAGGCAGCCACAAGATCCCCCCTCGGTCTGCTCTTGCACAGACTGAAGAGATTCAGGTCCCTCAGCCTCTCCTCATAGGGCTGGCCACGGAGGCCCCCAACCATGTGAGTGGTCTCCTCTGGACCCGCTCCAGGTTCCCCACATCCCTCCTGAAGTGCAGTGCCCAGGACTGGACACAGGACTCCAGCTGCGGCCTGACCAGCGCTGCATAGAGGGGGAGGATCACCGCCCTGGACCTCTTAGTGATGCCCCTGTTGATGCAGGACAGGGCGCAGTTGGCTCTGCCTATTGCTTCGTCGCATTGTCAGCCCAAGAGCCCCTGTCCAGGCTGCCTCAGCAAACTGGCCCTGTGGGCAGCGTGCGGGGAGCAGCCTCACCGCCGCGAGCAGCGACGTGCCTGGGGTGCACTGCCCGGCTGCTTAGTCACGGGCACCCAGACAGATGACCTGCTCGGGGAACAAAGGGCAGCACTGAGCGTCGGACGTGGCCGGCTTGGCAGGGCCCTCGGGCAGCCAGAACAATGAGCGCAGCCTGTGTGCAGCGCAGCGCTCCCGGGCTGCCAGCCGTGCCAGCCCTTGTTGGCTGGTGGGGAGCGGGCAGAGGCAGGCCTCAGCGGGAAGTGTGTGACCCACGTTGGAGCGGAAAGTCCGGGGCTGGAGCTGGGGCTTGGGCCAGCACCTGCCTGGATTCGGGCCAAGCATGTGCTACGCTGAGCTCCTGCATCCGGCCCTCCCACATCTTCCCAGCTGCAGCAGGGGCTCTCGTTAGTATTGGGTGCCGATCATTTCCCAGATGCGGCCGCCCTTCCCTGCCAAACTCCTGTCTGCAGCAGGTGTGTGACTCAGCTGCAGCCAGGCAGTGTCAGGCCTCGGCAGGGCCTGCTCAGCCGCCCGGAAAGGCAGCCGCCCCGGGCACAGCAGCCTTATCGAGTCATAGTTTCATAGTTGGTCGGGTCAGGAGGGACCTGAGTAGATCATCTAGTCCAACTCCCTGCCACGGCAGGAAAGAGTACTGGGGTCAAATG